ATGCTTATTCTTGCTCATTATTTAGTTATAATTGGTTAAAGTGGACATGCCCTATAACTTATTGCGACTACTGCATCTGTATACACAGATCTTCATATTGTTTGATAATCTTCAGTAACAAATATGTAGCAATGTTCTTCTGAACTTTGCTAGTCTATTATGATAACAAACAATTTATAATTTCAACTGTAAATCTCTACAGATGCATATCTACACTATCGAGGTATGACCCTCTGTGTCTCACACATCTCCTCTGTCTTAAAATAGATGAAGCTATACTAGGAGAGCTTGGTCCTGTTTTCAATTCTGATCTAATCAATAATTGTCATCACATATGACGATTTGAAAAGACTATTGTAGAATGCATTAGGAATCAACGAATGCGTTTTGGCTATTAAGTGCTGACAGATATTTCATATAATTGAACTCACATCTGGACAGTACGGATTACTAATGTAAGCACTGCACGAACTTGCAGTGCAGTGTTTCAGTTTTATATGAATTATCACATTCTTATTCGAAATCTGAAGCGTGGGATACATAAACTCTATGTGTTATGCTCAGTTCTACTTTAAATGACCACATCCACGTTGGATATTTAAGAGGCAGGTTTTGGTGTACAGTACTGAAATTCATGGTGCGTCTACACACATGTTAGATAAATGAAACTATTGGCGCTTTACCTTATAAGGATCATAGGAGTACTAAATCATGGATTATAGCATCCTAAACAAATGAGGAATAAACTGAAGAATTTCTCAACAGTTTATCATAAAGATTGTGCTTCCTGAAACTACGTATTTTGCTCCTAACAATCCTGGTAGCACGGAAAGCTTAATACTCTGGTACTTCAAAAGTATTAGTATAATAAGTTATGTAAAACTAAATGTAACCTTATGTAAATTTAGCGATGTTTTATTGTATTTTCATGTGATATTCCAGATGTATTATAATATTGTATTTTCATGTGATGTATTTATAGTATTAATTTTATTTAATATTTTGTAAAACATCGAGGTATCAAATATTTATTGTAAACGCGACCATTTACTGCGTACGTATTTAACAAACTTGTCTCTACTTTGTAAACGTGGTAAGTTATGTTATTATTATTATTTTTTGTTTTGTTTATATTATTCTATTTATTATTTATTTATTATACGCGTGTGCAACCACATATATATATATATATTGTACACGCGATTTAATTATTACTTCTGTGTTATCTACTGTAAATCTTCAATGTTATCATTATTGTAACCTTGATTTACCCGGTAATGCTCTGTGGCACCGGGGATGTGTCTACGGACATATTACTATTAAATATATCTGTACTGTATCTGTATCTGTATATTTTATACCATAGACACCAGAATCAACGCCATTATATATACCGACTCAAAATATATCATCATAGCCTTAAATGATTACCACGATAAGTCTCCTTCCATTACGCAAGCCAAACATACGGTCCTCCACAAAACCACACTTATGAATTATGCACTAAGCTCGTATTGGTCCCCGTTCAGAGGTATAGCAATCAACGAAAAAGTCGACTCCCTAGTTAAAAAGTAACCCACACACCTAATTTATTACCCCGGAAGATCTTAACAGTGTCACAAAGACGGGCAACGAAACTGTCGAAGACAATTAGACTACCCAAAAAACGTTAATTTCCCGACTCAAAGATTTGTTTCGGATTAGCATACCAAATATCACCGATCAATGTATATCAATGTTTTTATCAACTTTACTAGAACTAAATTATTAATTAACAACAAAACACTTCCATATAAACGGAAAATATATTAATTTTTGCTCTCAAAGATGCACTAGGTCTTATTTTTCCATGAAGAAGAATTCACATTTATTGTTGAACAAAAAAAATTTCCAAGTCTAACTTAAACGAGAGTGATGTATATCCTATCGTGTCGACGTCGATAAAGTTTATTGAACGCCTCAACCGGTAAAACTAAGGCGCTAGATAACCCAGGTATGCTCATCCGCCATGTTGGTCCTTAGAAAGCAGACGACTCTCGTAGAAGTTGAATAGAAGAGACACGAAAATAATCATAAATTCAACTGTATCTTAAGATTTTGCAAGGTCGAAATGATAAACTTTGCCAAAATTTAGTTCACCTAGTTATAAAATACAGCTAAATTTAAAAATCTTGGAATATGACGTCAAAAGGACCAATATGGCTGCACACGTGACGGAAGCGTATGAGCATACCTGGGTAATCTAGCGCCTTAGGTAAAACCGATCTGGCATCCGGTACGACTACTCCTATACAGCACCCCTAATGGATGGGAGACAAGTCCCCCAGCCCAAGTGCCAAGCAAGTAGCGACCATTCACAAAAATAGCCCACATCGGCCGATCCAAAGACCGGGCTAGGCCATTGATTGCCTTACAATCACGCCTCAGCAGTGAACTTACGAAGTTCCCGTGCTGGAGTGGACTTCCCATTCTCGCTTCAACTTAACCTTTTCATAGCGTCGACATCGGACTCGATGACAATTAGTGCTTACTGAACCGTAGTACTACGCAAATGTGATGGGGCGTGATTCCCGGCCGACCAATTAGCGCTCACCAGCCGTAACGTTATGCAAATCTGTGATTCCCAAGCCATAGTCTTATGCAAATCATGCCGCGTGGCGTGATTGTCTGCTGACCAATCATTGGCTGTACTTTCAAAAACCCAACGGCCATTTTCAACCATCTGTCGATGACCGTTACGACTAAAAAAAACTTTGCTAGGTCTTACTTTCAGGGGGAGGTCTTATATTTCGCATTTCAGCAAAACCTATCTTATTTTCGGGGAAACACGGTACACGCAAAATCAAAATTAAGAAGTGCAGATATTGCCTTGTCAAGTCGACACGACAAGTCACCATTAATTTCCCAGATTTGGTAACACGCAACAAAATCCTTCAAACACAAACAATAATATCTCCAAAATCACTGAATGTTTAAAGTTAACTCCGCTGGATACTTGCCAAAAAGTCCTTATCTCATACTTCACAGAATATAAAAAAATCTATAATTACTAGAAATCGCAATCAAACATAACACTTACAGGTGCATACTCCAACAAAAAAAGCAGATGATGAATAGATATGCAAACAATAATGAAAATAATTTTCACTTGTTTATTAGAGAAGAAAGTGTCGACATGGCTTCCGCCATAGGATATAACAATTTAGTCGTGCAACAAAGTCCGCAACTGCATCGTGCAGCATGCACGGATGGATGATTCACTATTCACAAAGGTGAGGTGTACGAAATTGTCTTTGTCGAATGGTTAATATGGAGAGTGCAGCTCATATAGGCTATGTACTCCGAGAGAACGAGAATATGGACGCATGCGTCCGATTGGCCGGCCTATAGATGGAAAGACCATACGTGCGCTGGAAAATAATGCCTTCCGGGAGGTCTTTTAAGGGAAACTGGCCCCTATTTAGGCGTTACAGACGTGGAGAAAACCGGAAACTCCACGTTGCCAGCCTGTCCGAGTGAGGCGCGAACCCATGACCGAACTGTCAGTGTTCCGGGACGAAGACCGCTTGGCCTTTGGTGGGCCGGCGTACAAAATTCTCGGACACGCAACATTTGATATCAGTCAAATTTACATACTCCCAGCATTTCATTGGTAATAGCTCCACCTATCGGTGATTTTTGGAATTAATTTTCTCTGTCAACAAAATCCCCTTGCTGACAATACTTGCCTTGCAAACTGCACTTCATTCCGATAATTTTCTCATCTTTTATGAATTTTCACGGACTTTTTCCCACCCTGTATGAGTTTTCCCATTACCGTTATTAACTGGAGAATAATTCAAAAATTTTGTAATATTTTGCTACATTTTATAATTGTTATTTATAACTGATCTATGTGTGTATTTTATTGTGTTTTTATTTTTGTTCAGAAATAGTTGCTAAAAGTTTTTCTCTATTCGCTGTTTCAAAGTAAAAATATTTGGGAGTCTGGCTTCCTTTAAACTACATGATTTTAGGAGTAGGTCACGTGCATGGCCAAGTGAGAGTCACCAGGACAGTGAAGGAGTCAAAATTTGAAAAAATATATATATATATAATGGGCTACGTGGTTTGTGTACGTTCCGGAATAAGGTGTAGGTCTCTTCGAAATGCAGACTTGACAACGTATGACTTTCGGGGTTTTGTATAAGAAATTTTCTCAACTCCATCTTAGAAAAGACCATTCGTTAATTACGTATACAGTTTTTGAGACACTTCTGACCAACTCCTGTTCTGTATATCATTTTATATACTGTACACAACAGGAAGGGATCTTAGCAAACTCCTTTACTGTAATATAAACTGTACAACAGTTCCTAAACCTTTTAAAAAGTTTTGGAAATATTTTCTGCTAATTTATTTACATGACTAGTAAGTAGATTTATAAGAACAAATTAATATATTACCTACACTAAAATAATTTACGTAGATAATGCCCGACCCCCTTCCCATCGTGAATGATGACAAACTTTTTACAATCTCCCTTAAACTTACGTAATTAAATGGATGGCCGTTAATAGTCAACGACAGAAACAGATGTCAGACACTGTTTTAATGATTTTTAATTTCAACATAAAAGAAAACTGGAAAAAAATAAAATGTATGGGAAGAGTAGAGAAACATATAGATAATTTCTAACGTGCGTACGGTTTTAACACTATAATATAGAATATAAACCAGTAATATATGAACATGGCTTACTATATATACAGTTTTCCATTATTATTTATAAATTCATTTATAAATATTCATAAACATTAACATAGGTCAAATTGCAAAAATTATCTATATTACCTTCAATGTAAACATCTGTTTATCATTCAATTCCTGTTTCGGAAAAATACAAGTTGTAACACAAATTTATGTAACTAAATGTTATTTAGAAATAAACGTTGAATACAAATAAAAAATTTTCAAGTTATACCGTAAATTTTTTTAAAAATAATCCATAGTTTGAATCAAAAATGCGGATAAATTGATTCATTTCCATATAGTAATAGGATAATGATGTTTATCGACTTAAGTTGTCAAGCAATTTTAATTGGATTTCGATCAAACGGTTCGAGTCGAACCGAAGTAAAAATAGAATTAAACTCTTTCTTAAGCCCAAATTTATAGCAATAAAAGAGAAATATGATAATTATTCCATAGATCGAAATCTCTCAGATGTTTCAGAATTTTTATAACCGAAAATGACATTTATATTCTTCGTATCCAAATAAGGCTAGAGGCTCGAAATAACCTGAATATAACGTTAAAAACTTTATCATAAAAATCTACATATAAAACGTATTCATTCATACTTTTATCTATAAAATTAATTGTTTCGGTTCTCGGAATAATTACAAAGCATCCTACTGACGTATCAGGTTATTTAGCTATCGCTAACATAATGAAACATAAATTATAATTTATATTTTACATATGCAAAACTTGTTTTCAATATTCAATTACTTAATTTAGACACGATGTTTTACATGTACTTAGCAGAATAATGATAACTGTCATGCATTTTAATTCCATTTTATTGGATCGCACGTGGTTAAGGCCTCAGTCTACCGCTCTGAAGAACTCGGGGATTGAATCTTGGCAGTCGAAATCTCTGGGAATTTCTCGAGTAGTGGTCTCCCTCACCACTCGGTCGCCATATTGTTGCCTAGCCGAACGCACAACGGACATGGAAAAAGTTCTTTTAATGCCAACCGGGAAGTAAGAGTCTAAACTAAAAAAAAAAAAAAAAGCTATTTTATTTTAATTAAAATATAAATCACGCTTTTTAAGTTATACTTTCATTTATATCATAGAAGCATTATTGTATTCTATTTGCAGAAGCATCAATTAGATATCTTAATACAGTAATCTAATTATATTATGATACATTTAATTAATTAATTTTAATCAATTAATAATCATGAAGTATTTAAGAACAACTTATTACAAATTTAATAAGATAAATATTTAAATATTATTTTAAAAGTTTTAACACCTTGCTAAGAACTAAACAAAAGAATAGTCTATCAGTCATATATTAACCATATAAGTAACTCAATGTTTTTTCTTTGCCTTTTTTTGCTATTTGTAAAATAAAACTCGCCATTAAAGTTTTCTTAACGGAGAATCTTAAGTTAAGCAAACATCTAAACGTTTCAGTGATTTTAGAATGGGATAAAGTGTCTAGAGGAAATGCAAGATCTTTCAAGAACTTGTTCATGATCCAAATTTTGTGAAAGATCATACAAATTCTCATAATTGTGAATGTAGAATCATCCAAATTAGCTTAACTGTGATATAATTTCTGATGATTTAAGCTTTTTAAAGTAATAATTACATTATTATATTTACTAGATTTGTATCAGCTTCTGTCTTTAATAAACGAAAACGGTAATATTTTATAATGTTTAAAAACCAAATAAAGTAAAGTTTCTTTTATCTGTCACTCGATTATCCGTCAGTTTCTGTTAACAGTCATGCCAATGAGACCATCAGGTGACCATGCAATAAATGTATCAGCCACCCTAGAAAGAATCCGAGCAGGGTAAAAATAACTAAGTAATTTTTCGAGATAGTGGTCCGTCTCGAACATGTTGGTCCCCATTCCTCACATCTGGCTGCCCAATTGCGGGACTGGCCAAATCCACAACAGGCTTGATAAAAAAAAAAGGTCCTCTTAAACAAATTACCCACAGAGCGAATAAAGTTAGAAAAGTCATGACAATGAAGTGCATCGCACTATCATCATCATCCTTATTAGGCTACAATTTTCAAATTGCAAACCAATACATTCCGATTGACCTTCGTTAATCTCGAGAACGGAGTTAGATAGATGAAAATCGAGACCAAATGTGGAAAGCTTAATGGCCGGATGCCCCGATTCCGAACTGAAATTGCCTTCGGTTCTCGATGTAACTTCCTACTCTTCTTTCCGAACTTGCCGTATGACGTCTTTAAATCTCTAGATGTGTGATGCACGGACTCCCATTGTACGGAAGCTCGATATTTTGCTGTTTTTCCTGCTGAAGTGTGATTTGTGATTCGATTTCAAGCCTAATGTCTAAACAAGCGAACTAGGATTTTATCGCCACTTTAATAAAAATATCTCCAATTATCTCTTCCTAATTATCTAGTTATGCTACTGCAAGGTCAATAATAAGCACCAGCAAAGTATTTAAAGTATTTACTTGGGGCACACATTTTTAAGGACGGCATTTCACAAAAAAAAGTAATTATAATTAAATTTTTTTAAATATAGCTTTTAAATTATCGTGTTTTCTTTTCAAAATAAATAAATTATAAATTGTATTTTTCTATTAATCTTTAAAAAAATCCAGCAACGAGTTGCTTAATTTTCCCGGCAACATTTAAAAACTGGATTTGTGGCGCCATCTGTTATAACATTTTATTATTAAAAACTTTTTATATTATTTTAACTATCATGAAATGGCAAAAAGCTTAATTTTAAAGTTAGGGATAGATTTTATTTTAAAAAAAATTGTAAATACTAATAACGAGTAAAGCCGTCATTAATTCAGTCTGACCTTACTCGAGATATAACACGACCCCCCTTTATCTCCCCATCCTTCGATCTTTAACAACCAAAATTTAATAACATCATTCCCCTAATACACAAACCTCCTTGCAAAATTTCAGAAAATTTCGACAAAAAGCACAAGAGTTATTAAGCTTCAAACAGGATGAACAAAATCGTGCTCCATACGCATTAACATTTATACATACAGAAAAACCCCGAAATTATTTTGCATTTCTCGACGTTTTAAGGTCTCCTGAATCCTGAAAAATGTAAAAATATGGGAAGGTCATTTTTTGGCCGATCGCCATACTTTCTCTCTGTTTTGTATAACAGAACCGGGAAAGTAATACAAGCGTATCAAATAAATTTCTAGGAGCGGCATAAATGGTCTTTGCTACTGTTGAGGCCCCTTATTTGTGACTGATACAACCTACTTTTACCTGTTTTAGACCAGAGTTGCTATCTTTGACATAAGACTCGGGTTTAACACATTTTTTTTTTTTTTACCAGATTTAGTAGTTCCTACGCTTAATAAAATCCTCTGTGATGAGCATTTTCGCAAAAGTTTGTGGACTTTTTATACATGAATTTTATATTTTAATTAATGAAACTTTGTGATAAAAAATAAACAGAAAAATTATATCACTTCATTATAAATTACAATTTTTCAACTAATTATGATTATTATTATTATTATTTTATTTATTCAAAGTTTTAAGGAATTTTAATATTATTTTAAAAATTTATAAATTAGTCATTTATACTTACTAACCATAAAATAACGTCTATCAAGCAAGTAATCCTTGTATATACGTTAATAGAATAAGTCAAAACGAGTTTCGCGTGTCCTTGGCTTCTCTATATAAATTATTAAAATAAAGCTAATATTTATTTATTCTTTTAACTTTTATCTTTATTAAGTTTATTTTATATATTCAATATTTTATTATTTTATAATGAATTTTTTCAATGAAAGAGAAATTCATAATAGAAAATATAGGCCTATATCTAAAATTAAATGTTATTTATCTTAATTTTAATACAAAATCTAGATTTATCAATAATTTTTAAATAATTTAATTGTGTAATTATTAAATATTATATAAAATCAAATTCATATTCCATCTAAATAGAATTAAACAAAGAATGTGGCAGTAAACTCACTTGGCTCGGGGTGGGATCCGAGCGAAGCCACACTTTCTTGAAAGAAGCTTCAAAATTTAAAATTCTATAAGTAAAATCAGTTAAATCACAATACTAAAATGATATAAATTAAAATTTCCTTTAATGAAACTTTTTATTTTAAAAAATCCATTTTATTAACTTATTTTTATACTTTTATGGCTTCTGGAGAGAGTGAGGCTCTACTTTTAATTAGGCTGAAGGATCTGAATCCAATCTCATTTCTCTCCGGCTTTTCAGCTGAATCATAAAATTTAAAAATAGAATATATAATTTTTACAATAGATAAAAAGCAGTGAAGTATATTATTATGCATTTAAATAACTTAAATTTTATGAATAAAACCTTTTTCAATAGAAAATAATAATTGTTTTTTTTATTCAGTATTGTATAGTAATATAATTTTCTTATGTAAAGGGATTGCTATTATTATTTTAAATTTAAAAATTGGCAAGTAGCGATAGTCTATATGACAGTAAGCGATAGGAACAATGTCACGCTATTGTTATTACAGCAATTATGTTAATATTAACATTGATAAAAAATCTATAAACAATTAGAGAAGAGGTCGGCAACTATTCGAATTTGAAATTAAATGTTGTATATAACTTACATATATTGTGTTATTTTTTAGATTTTTTTTTAATCTGATATTTAAATACTGTATCTAAAAAAGTTATTTTATTTTATTAAAAATATTTTTGTTAATTCGTATTTTATTGATTGTTTAAAATGTAAATTGTTTTTTACTTTATTTTTATTTTTAATTGGATACAGGTGTATTAATTTTAAAGGTTATTTTAAATATAAAAGTTGTCAATAACCGGTTTTTAATTATCGAATATTTTTTGAATGAGTTTTAGAAAAATGGAAAAATTGATTCGTTATTACTGTAAAAATTAATTTAATTAGTTAGAAATTGTAAAATTTTTCTAGGCATCGGGGCTACATATATGTCAATGTGTAAAGATCATCATCCCTGTAGAATGTTTATAACGATGTCTTTATATTTTAAAATATTAGCATATTTTAATAATGTATTTTTTAAATATAAACATATTAAATATAATTCCTTATATTTTTTATCCAGTGGCTCGTTATAGATTCATGAGTCCCCAGGCACATTTGAATTAGGGAGCCTCGTGTAGTGTTGACTTTAAACATTTTTGTTCGGGAAATTTTGGCTGGAATCCCCCAGATATTCTCGTTCGTTTTATAACGCGACCTCTGAGCTGCGCCAATGCTCCCTGAAATCTAGACTCCCCAGATACGGCCCAAATTTAAATTTGGATATTCTTTGTACAGTAATGAGTTTATAAAAGATTGGTTTGAGGTCAAAGGCAATTTCCCTTTTTGCCCATAGGATAATGTGTCACCGTTCTTATCCTTAACTTATAAAAATATAGGAATCACTAATATAGAAATTATAAGCATAGGTGATTTTGTGTGTTTAGGCCTATAACCTGTATAAGTTACTGTTCACAATCTAGTGATAAGCAATCACGAATCCCCAATTTTTGGGTTTATGATGGGCTCATTGTATTCTATTATAATAAAAATAAGACTAAGGAATTATATCTAAAAGTATTGTAATAAATTCTAATACAATAAAACATCTATTTAACGGAGTAATTCGGCGAGGGGTGTCCCGTGAAAGCCGATAGTCTGTTATATAATAAATTAGGTTTTCCGAATGCGCGTATTAAAAAACGATAAATTAGTTATTTTATGTGTTTTTACTTATATGGATACATTTGTGTAATTAAAATGAAGTATGTATGAGAAGTTTAATTTCACAGAAAACTTTTCTATATGTATTATCGCTTATGTACTCACCGTAGTTCTGGATTGCAATAAACTAATATACGATCTAGATTGAAATAAATAAACATTTTTGGTGAATACACTTTAGTTGTATTTAACTAAACAAATAAATAATATTCTTAAAAATAAAACAACATTTAAATTTGAAAAAAACACAAAAATATTTCCTATTTATTTGTTTTTAGATGACGATTATATATCGAGACATTTCCTTGTGTCATAAGGACTGATAACTTTTGGATTTGAAAAAAATAATAATAACCACAATATTCTATTAATTTAATTGCAAATAAAAACATTTTAATATTAACAGAGTATTAATTTTTACATATGACAAACGAACCGGAAATTTTCTGTTAATTCAAAATTTTACTGTAATTTTAGATGTAAACATGATTACAACTCCTTATCTTACTCTTACTATAACAGGATACAATTATCTATATTGGTAATTCCTTTATTGAACATAAACTCCTGAAATAAGGAAACGGATGCTGATCATGCTCTCCTATTTAAAGGCTGGTGATTTATAAGAATTGTAAGCCTTAATAATTGTATTCTGTTATAGTACAGGTTAGAGTAAGGAGCCAATTACACGCAATACGTATATATCCAAATACAATCATCAATACTAATATTTTGAGATATAAACACGATAATTATGCCCTAAAATGTTACCGGCAGTCGATCACGACCCTTAATTTTAAGGATCCTCGATTGGTAGTATAAGAATTTAAGCATAATATAAAAGTATATCAAAATCGGTACATTTTGTGAGTCGCATACTCCAGAAATTGGTAATTATTTAGCATGAAGTTTACGTCATCGCTTACGTAATTGCCATTTCTAGTTAAAAATTTTTACCCGATATACGTCACAATTACGTTTTCAATAATTACATTCGGATTATTCAATGACATTGCCTCACGATTTTCAAATGGACGAAAGGAAATTATGAAAAAATAATCATTATTATTAATGTCTAATTTTTAAAACTTTTTATACTTTTAGAAAATAAATAAATATTTAAAAAATATTATGTAATTCAGTATTAGTTATTGAATAATATATTTTAAATTTTGTATAGTATTGTTTTTCCATATTAATTAAGAAAAGTGAAAACGTTTAATTGCTATTAACTAAAGTTTTGCGAAGAATAATATTTCGCAGCTCCTAAGGAAATTGTTAATAATCTTTTGTGCAAACGCCAGAATGGATCACGAAGAAGTAGAAAAGACATTGATTTAAATATTAAACTGAAAAATAAATATTTAATTTGATTTTAATGTCATTTTTCGAATCCGTCAGGATTTAATGTTGATCTAATTACTTGTAAAAGTATTAATTTTTCAATCTTAATTATAATAAAGTTTATAAATTTGCTAAAATTACAGATTGGTGATAGAAAATTTTTATTATTCTTATCTAAAAATTATATAGAAAATTAAATTAGATTAAAATTTTGCGTCCTCAAAATAATTTAATTCGAATAAAGAATCTTTGTATAGCGAGAAATATAAATAATCATAAGAAATTCTATTTTTAAATTATGCTTATATGGGTGGATCCTTTGAAATATTTATAACCACGAATATGTAAATTATCAGCATTGCATCAGATTTGAACATTTGATGATATTTATGAAAGAAATGCGATATAATTATAAATAATATGCAAATTTCATATACAAATATGGTTGAATTTATTATATTTTATGCTGGCAGAATTGGCTAATGCACTATTAATTGATTCTTTTTTAATTATTTATACAGAATTAAACAAGTTTAACTTATCTTTCTCAGCATAATCGTCGTATAAAAGCCGGAAAATTAGAAATATTGACACACAATTACAACTCAATTATTTTCATGAATCTCTTCTTTTTCTTACATATCTGTAGGCTACTCTAAATGTACTGTATTTGAATGAGATGGCAAGCAGGATAATATAATAACTATTAATTATTAATCAAAATAACACTTAAAATACTGTAAAAGTAAAATTTAAATGATACGAATAGTGTTAATTCGTTTGTTATTGATAAATTTCCTTCAAGGATAACTTCTCTTTTACTTGAAGGTTAAGGATTGAGTTTATTCATTAAGATAAGCGAATCATGGTCTAGAATATGAATTTACAATCGAAATAAATAACGCATAAACAAATATATAGAGTAGGCTATATTGTATATAGATTTAAAATAAATTATAAAATGTATATCTTAATATTCTACAACCTGTTTAATACATATTCATTATAAAGAATAGAAAATAAGAAGAAATAACATTAATTAGAAGGAAAATGTGTCATGAGAATTGTTTAGAGTACTTGAATTTAGAGTTTTATATTTGGCCCGGATCAAATGAATCTGCGAATCTGCTATCTGGATATAGCCTATACTGTATTTATAGGCCTATATATATATATATACATGATACATGTAGTAAATCCCCGTTTCTGTGGTCTAACTTATTTTCAGAGAACCGTCGTCGAAAGAGTTGCCCTATTTCTCACAAGCTTAGTATCATAGAGGATCACCAGTAGAGTTTCATGGTCATGAGATTGGTGTTTCGAATCCTACTGGTATCAAGGGGAGTCTACAATGACCGAGTGGATAATACCACTGAATACTGGTAGTTGGTCATAGGTTCGCGCCTCGCCAACCGACTGGCCATGTGGAGTTTTCGGGTTTTCTTCACGTTAGTAACACCTAAAATGAAGCTAGTTTCCTATAAAAGACCTCCCAGGAGGCATTTCTCCTCGACAGATCGTCCATTATGTTGCGTTGCTATATACGAATAAAACCAAACTAAAACAAAAATTTACAACTTAAAAATTTCTTTTGTATTATTTATGATTAATTGTATCTTTACAGATGTTTTCGTATTATTTTCAGAGTCAGTCCAAATCCATTTGCTCAGTCAAAAATCTAAAACTATCAAAGCATTTTATAACCAGTTCTATGAAAAAAGTTTACGCGAAAATTGCGCACCAAAACGAAATGCACACACGGAAAATTACCCATACCAAAAATTGCTCTCACAGAAAAATATTCACATATAGTAATAATTTCCACGCAAAGGTTAAAGATGTATGTGCAATTTCAAATACCATAGATATTTATAATTGTAGATTATCATTCGTCTCTCATTTATGAGAATAAACAAGTATTAGTCGTATTTTAAATTATTAACAATAAATCTTATGATTAAAATATTTCATTTCCATATGTCACAATTTGCGTTGTGATTTTGTCGAGTTTGACTAACCAATAATTTTATTATGCCATAAGTATTCATATATTAATTTATTGCTAAACGAAAGTGAAAATATAGGAAATAAAAGTAAACAGTTTTTTTATCAACAGACTTCATTCAGAAGAAAATAATAATAATAATGTAAAGAAAACAAATGTTTTAAAAA